AAAAAAAAAAAAAAAAAGATATGTTGGGGCTTATTAGATCTAATAATAGGAAATAGTAGTTAGTATTTTGCCTCTAGGTAATACCTTAAGGAGCCTTATGTTTGACTATTTTTAACATGAAAATTGTAGTCTTATTTTTTAAATCCCTTTATTAAGGTGTAATTATGTACAAAAAAACTGCACATACATAATTTATACAATTTAATGAGTTTGGAGATAAACATATACCCATGAAAGCATCTTCATAATCTATGGCATAAACATATCCCTCCCCTCTGAAAGATCTCTTCCCTTTCTCCTTATTTATTATTATTATTGTTTTTAGTGCATGTTATAAGGACTTTAATGCAAGATATATCCTCTTAGGAAATTTTTAAGTATATACAGTAGTGTTAACCGTTGGCACTACAGTGTAGGGTAGATTTCTCTGACTTACTCATCGTGCGTAACTGAGATGTTGAATCTGTTCATCTATTTTGTTTATTATATTGTGAAAGACAAAATGTCATAATTTGTAAACAACCTGGAGCCAGGTGGCTATTTTTTGTTGCTTGTTCACTGAGTGAACATGGGCATATTCCTGAATCCTTCTGAGCTTCTGCTGTTTCCTCTGCACAACGGAGTAATTCTAGTTATCTCTCAAGCCCCTTTCCAAAGCTAAGTGAATGAATGTAAGGCGCAGAGCAGAAAGTCAGCACGGAGAATGGAAATGCAATCACTATGCAATCGCTTGCCATTCTGACAAGCTGCTACTTTACTTCAACCTCTGCCAATGCTTTTGAATCCTCTCTTTGGTAAATGAGTTAATGTGGGGTTATAAGTCTGTCAAGATAATTCCCAAGCTATGGTGAAGACCATAGCCCAAGGGGAACTAATTTCTATCGTCATAGATAATGTGTCCTACAGAGATGGCACGAAGGGCTCTTTCTTCATCATTCAGCTCATCGCATGCTTCCAAAAATATTCTTGGTGCTGTCACCTCATGGAAATATTTAGGGAGGTAAGCTTCCCTTTTCTTTTCTAGTCATTCATTTATTTGTTCAGGAATAAGTTACCATTATTCACCTTTAAAGTTACAATGACAGACTTTGCCAGGCAAGCAAAAGTAGAGTGGTACCTGGTCTCTGTCATTTAGATGTCTACAATCTGGTTTAGAAAAAGAAGTCAGCATACCACAGTGGGAGCTCAAAGGAGAAGAAAGTGATATCGAATACAAGTTTGCATGCTATGAGCTATCAGTTTTTAAAATTCAGAAAATGGGAAGTATTTTGAAATAATTTTTATTGCTTAATTTATTAGATAAATACATTCTGGGTGGTCTACTGGGAAATGGGCTCTATTCTGGTGACACAAGGGTAAATGAGGGATATGTGGCATAAGCCTACTCAGGACTCACAATTGGGGGCCGATATGGATACTAAAAAAAACAGGTCAACAAACAAATGTGTGATTACAGATTGTGATAGCATTCATAAAGAAAAAGACCTAGACAAGTGAAAGGGAATAAAGGAGAAGACACTCTGTGTGGAACAGTGCAAAAGAGAAGATTTGATACTCATTCCCCAACTTTGGACACTTCTTTTTCCCCATGCTTCCTCACTTATTTTTCTCCATAACTCTTACCACCAACTTTTCTGTACATATTTTATGTATGTGTTTGGTTTTTATATGCATTTACTCACTAAAATTCAAGCTTCATGAAAACAGGGATTTTCTCAGCACCTGACACATAGCAGATATTCAGTTAATATTCATTGGATAAATGGACCCATGAGTGATAGAGAGGTGCTCTCCTTTTTTTAGAGGAAAGGAGATTGGCGTTTAGAGCTCAGGGAAGTGTGGTTGTTTTTAAATTCTAAACTGTAGAGAACAGTAATACTCCTGTGGGAAAAGAGGATTATAGCTTTGGTAGGTTGGAGAAGATTGTATCATAACGTGAGTCAACGTTTCTGTGAATAGAAACCTAGGAAGTTACTTCCTCTTGGATGAATAGAAATTAGATATTGTACTTTCAAGGGTATTCCTAGGAAAAGACTAGAAATACTGAGCTTAGCGCAAGTACAATCTCATTGATTACTCCGTGACAAAATACTTCAGAGGTTAGCTTAATGGTGGGGATGTAAAAGTTGTTCAGTGTTTAGGCCTTAATAACAAGATCTTGGGATTTGAGTCTTCTTGGATTGACGAATCAGCCTTGGTGGGGGTTGAAGGTAGGGGATCTTCCAGTTCTCACAAACGAATCCCCCAAAATAACTGGTTGTCAGATCTGTAGGTCAGAAATGGAAAACAGATGAAATGGAGGTTGAAAGGCCTTGGATTAAGCATGAGGTATTTATTTTGAGGTAAAGATTATAGTCTGACATGGACATCAATTCTAAGAGGCAAGGTAGCAGCAGCAGGAACATCCTACATTTCCAATATTTTCTGATTCATGGTGCAAAATGTTTTCTGAGAGTTCAAGAGAGGCACATCTCATCTATAGCCTGTTTTTGCTTTTAGGTACAAAATGCATTCGAAACCCCAGATGATTATGCCCAGATGCCCACCATAGAACGACAAACCATGTCAAGATATTTCTACCTCTTCCCTGGCCATTGAAAATAGTAAGTATCAAGAGCTGCTAGTGAGTGAATTAAGTGGGACAGTAATATTAGTACTAAGGTCCAATGATCAATGACAGCTGAATGCTTGGATGATCACATTAGTGTTCCTCGCTGATGTAATTTGGTGATTATTTGCTATTTTTTATTCTACTTATATGCATTTGGATTCCCCCCCCCTCTTCTCAAATAATCAATCAAGAAGGTAAGCAAAACAAAGGGAGGAAGTGGTAAACAGAATAATTAGGGGAACAATTATTAAAACAAATGAGCTCCTGCTTCCATTATTACTTATATTCATTTCTGTCTCATGCTCTCTGTCTCTGTTCTCTCTCTCTCCCACACACACACACCCACAGACCCACACACACTCACTGTGTTATCAAACATTGCATCAGCCCCAGAGAAAAACAAAAAATACAGAGGAGCTGACTATGGGGAAAGCAGGACTTTCATATCATTGCCATTGAACTACCATTAACAGACAATATAAAGTACATCTTGGACTTAAGGTTTGTGTCAGTGTAGGCTCTGGTTTTCAGACTGTTCTCAGAGTGTAGATTACAAATCACTTAGAATATGCTTTCAGACTTTCTATTCCAGCTCAGAAATTCCTTCAAGCTCCATTGTCAACATTTAAACATTTTTTTTGTTTTGGTCAAAATATTTTAGAATGGGTATGAGTTTAGACCCAGTGATTATTTATTCACTCATAACAGCTTTATTTAAGACCATATAATAAGCATATTATTAGTCTCCTCTCAGAAACATACTTAAAATTATATTTTATAGTAAAGTGTATCTCAATACTTCAAATATTTACCCCACCTCTCTTCTGGCATCTGACACTCCGGTTGCAGATCTGCGTAGATACTTCACCAGAACAACTTTCACAGCCCAATTCATCCCATAAGGCTACATTCTGGTATTGAATTATTTATGAGACTAATATTTATCAATAGTTGTCATGTGTCAATTTCCATTCTAGATGCTTGGAATATATCAGTGAACAAAGTAAATGGAATCCTTACTCTCAGAAAGTGTATAGTCTAGTGGGTGGAGACTCTGAGTGCATAAATAGGTAAATATATCATAGATCAGATACTGATAAGAGCTAAGAAGAAAAACAAAGAAGGATAAGGGGTACATAAAATGGTAGATGTTGTACTGCCATCGACAGATTATTCAGAAAAGACCTCTTAGAAATGATGAAATCAGAACCAAAAAAATGGGCAGAGCAGGAGAGTGAACCTTGTAATTTTTTTTTTTTTTTTTTTTTGGGGGGAAGACTGATGAGTACAGGGATCTGAACCCTTGACCTTGGTGTTATCAGCACCACACTCTCCCAAGTGAGCTAAATGGCCAGCCCTAAGCTTATGGTTCTTATACAGGAAAAGTGTGCCAGCACAGATAAAGCAAATACGAGTGCCCTGGGGCAGAAATGCACAGAACACGTTTAAAGAACTGAAAGGAGACAATGCAACTGGGGGAGAGTGAGACTAGAGAAAATGGCAGAGACAAATTCAGATAAATGTGGAGAAGTCTGATCACATGAGCCTTGGTTATCACATGGTAAATCTTTTTAAAATTTTTATCCTGATTGACCTCAAGTGTCTTTGAACAGAGAAGTGACATAATCTAACTTAGGTTTTATAAAGATCACCCTAAAGAGAACACAGATGTCACAGATGGAAGTCAAGGGAAGTGACAAGAGCACATGGAAGAGGATGGAAGAAAAATCATAAGGGATGGGATGAAGCCTACAAGGGATAACAATCTTGACTTTCTGTTCTTTTCTCTCCTGCAGGAAACCACAGGCAGCCCAGCCCTCCTTTACTGACTTCATGAAGTACCTGTACAGCACAAGCATGCAAACGTTTGTATTTCAATAAAAATGAACACAAATGAACTATCTCTTTCTTAGGAGGTTCTCTAATAGAGAATAGAATTCCATTTAAAATGCTGGATGAGTGGAAATGAAGTGGAAGAAGCTAACTGGATTTTCTAGCTTTGCAACTCATACGCACTTCAATGAGTGAAAAGGACCAACTGCAACTTACTCGCAGCAAAGGATAAAAGGACATGGTGCTTAAAACTACAGTGAGATACCACCTCATACCCATTAGGATGGCTACTATCAAAACAAAACAAAACAAAACAAAATACAGAAAATAACAAGTGCTGATAAAAATGTAGAGAATCTGGAACCCTTGCACACTGTTGCTGGGAATGTAAAATGGTACAGGCATTGTGGAAAACAGTATGGTGGTTTCTCAGATAACTAAAAATAGGTCTACCTTATGGCCCAGCTATCAACTACTGAGTATATACCCAAAGGAAATGAAGTCACTATATCAAAAATACACCTGCATTCTCATGTTCATCACAGCAGAGTTCACAATAGCCAAGAGATGGAATCAACCTAAAAGCCCATCAATAGATGAATGGATAAAAACTGTGGTATATATACACAATGGAATACAATTCAGCTATAAAAAGAAATGATTCCCTATCATTTTCAGCAACATGGATGGAACTGGAAACCATTATATTAAGTGAAGTAAGTCAGGCACAGAAAGAGAAATACTGCATCATCTCACTCATATGTGGAATCTAAAAAAAAAGAGTGGTTCTTATAGAAGTGGAGAGTAGAACAATGGTTACCACAGGTCAGATGGGAAGGGGAAGTTGTGGATTAATGGGCACAAAATGATGCTATCCACCCTAAGCAAATCATTGTGCAGTATATGCATGTATTGAAACAACACACTGTACCCCACAAAATATATACAAGTAAATGTTTTTTTAAAAAATCCGTGACATAAATACAAAAATTACAATGATAAAAAGTGAAGTAGAGTTGCATAGTTCTACAAGAGCCTGTAATAGAGATATTTAACCTAATAAGGGATGTTTAGAAACTTTTCAGAGAAAGTGACCCTGAACCTGAGAACTGAAGAAGAGTAGGCATTAATTAGGCAAGAAGTCAGGGAAGGGGAAGATCACGGAGAAGTATTTTTCTAAGAAAACAAACATCCCTTTGGGCAAGGGAGCAAAAAATTTAGAGGAATTGAATGTAACAAGGGCTGGAGGGCTGGAAAGTTGGAAGCAAAAGGGAGTGTGGTTTAAGGAGAGACTGGAAATGTGGGGAGTTCATATCATGTGAAATCTTGCAGCCTGTGTTAAGGAGTACTGGCTGTAATGTAAGACAGATGGACAGACATTGAAGGGTTTAAAGCAGGGTGTGAGATGTAAAAGATTAGACTTGGCTTTGAGAAGTTCACATGGGGATACAGAGTAAAGAATGGATTGGAAAAGAACAAGAATAAATGCAGAAGGCCAGTTAGGAGGTTCATGCAAAAGTCCAGTTGGGAGATGAGGTAGCCTGGTATAGGGTTGTATGGAGATGGAGAAAAGCATATTTGAGAAATATTTAGGAGGTAAATCTACAGAACTCATTGATTATTTGAATGTAAGATATAAGGAAGAGCGAATTGTTAAAGTTAATTTTAGAGTTCCTATCTTGAGAAATTGAGTAGATGGTGGTTTAACAGGATGTGGCTTACAGGGAAAATATAATATGTGTTGGTGGATTCTATTCCTTTTCTCTTTTGCACAGGAATTTGGTTTCACACTCTGTGCTATGCTCAATCCCGCTGGAGCAGACCCTGAGACAAGGATGTAAATGAAAGTCATTGTTTTGGGGAATCAAATATGAAAAATAAATAAGGAAGAGAGAAGTAAGAAAGGGAAGGAAAGGAATCTAATATCTGTTGATGAACAGGTTGCCACTGTGAGCAACCAGGGCTCATCCTCCTGGGGACCTGCATGAGAGGGGGTAGAACATGTTTTTGAGTTTTCTCACTTGCCGAATGACAGATATAAAATATTTATATGCCAAATCATATGCATTATTGGTTGAAGAACTCTCCAGGGGCATCAGCTTGTGGCACTTCTGGCCCAGACTGTGCTCCAGCCAGTCATCTGGAAGCCAGAGAAAGCCTCAGGTCATGATAAAACATCAGAGTGCATTGGAAAGGTGAATGCTGTAATGATATTGGCAGATCATGAACAGTGTCTGTTGTCCTCTAATTCTCTCCTTCAACATTTTTCATTTCACCATTTCTCTAAGCTTTTCTACTCTATCTCTATACATTTCTCCTTTTGAATTCTTGCCCCACATGTCAATTTTTCTTTTATTGCCACATTCCAAAGAAATTGTTGATCTACAAATTCTTTGATTTTCAAGTCAAAATGGTACTTTCTATACTACTGCATACCCATAGCTTCATATCTTTATTGTAGTGAGAGTAATATATTGTGCAACCATGAATAATTTTATGCCTGTTGTGATGAAAAGCTAAGAAGATGGACTCATAGCCAAGCATACAAAATGTAAGTCACAATGAAATAACACTATAAATAATATTGACTTAAAAAATGCTCAAATATAGCTGTTGTATTTGCAAAATATACATCTGACAAAGGATTAATATCCAGAATATAAAAGGAACTGAACAACTTTACAGAAACAAAAAAACAAATAACCCAATTAAAAAATGGGCAAAAGAGCTAAATAGGCATTTCTCAAAGGAAGATATAAGAATGGCCATAGACACATGAAAAAATGCTCAACATCACTCAGCATTCAGGAAATACAAATCAAAACCATGCTGAGATACCATCTCACCCCAGTTGGGATGGCAAATATTCAAAAGACTGTGAATGATAAATGCTGGCGAGGTTGTGGAGAAAAAGGAACTCTCATACACTGTTGGCAGGACTGCAAAATGGTGCAGCCTCTATGGAAAATGGTATGGAGGTTCCTCAAACAATTGCAGATAGATCTACCATATGACCCAGCTATCCCACTGCTGGAAATATACCCAGAGGAATGGAAAGCATCACATCCAATGTATACCTGTTCTCCAATGTTCATTGCAGCACTATTTACAAAGCTAAGAGTTGGAACCAGCCCAAATATCCATCATCAGATGAGTGGATACAGAAAATGAGGTATATCTACACAATGGAATACTACTCTGCTATAAAAAAATAATGAAATACTGCCATTTGCAACAACATGGATGGACCTAGAGAGAAGTATACTAAGTGAAATGAGTCAGGCACTGAAAGAGAAATACCACATGTTCTCACTTATTTGTGAGAGCTAAAAATAAATAAATAAATACACAAACACATTCAGGGGCAGAAGAAGGCACAACAATCACAGTTCCTTCAAGTTGTTAAGACAATCGATCAGACTGAGGTTGATGGGAGGGAGGGGGGAGCAGAAGTGNGTGATGAAAAGCTAAGAAGATGGACTCATAGCCAAGCATACAAAATGTAAGTCACAATGAAATAACACTATAAATAATATTGACTTAAAAAATGCTCAAATATAGCTGTTGGTGGTTTGGTCTTAAACTGGAAAGAGAGAGTAAACTGAGTGCCTTAGGGACCTAGATCCAAATTACTGCATGTTTTTATTAGTGATTTCTATGATGGAATAGAGAGCACATTTTACAACATGTGCAGATATTACCAAGTTGGCAGCAACTGCCAGTACTTTGGAAAGCAGAAATACAATATCTAGCATACCACTGGGCATAGGCTAGATGCTCCATAAATATTTGGGGATTGATGAACTAAAATCCAATATAACCTTTGTAGATATTATTCACAGATTCTATGCCAAACCTTTCCACTCTCTTGGGTTCCAACCCCACTTCTTCTCTGAAGGCAACCTGATGTACAAGTTTATTAGGTTCAAAGACATCTTATTTTGACTCCCTCCATTTGCACCTTCTCCAACAAAGGAATTTCTGTATTAACCCATGACTCTTTCTAACTTTCACCTTTCTTTTCCCTCCATCACTGTCTTCTCCTACCCTTCTCCTCCATGCTAATATTTTCCTCATCATTTCCTCATTCTCCTGGCTAGAAACCTGCTCAAGTGCTCCCTAGATTAAAAACTCATCTGTTCTCCACCAAATTATCCCTATGAGCCTGTAAGTGCTTCTGTGAAGAGTGATACTTGTGCCTACACCTCCACTTTGTCATTCTCCTTTAACTGTTAGTCCTTCTTGCATAAGAAGCTGCTGCATGCAAGAACTCTGGCTTACAGCCTTTTCTATCTGCTCGCGGTACAGTTCCAGTCACTCATAGGTTAAGATGGATGGAATTCTTATTGAAGGAGTGCTAGTCAACCTCAGCACATTTTAATGTTTCTTCTCCCCACCCCAGTAGTTCTTGATAATCCTCATTGCCACCGTCTTTCCACTGGTTCAGAGATCTTCTTCGTTAGCTCTTTTCCTAGTACGTTGAGAGTTTCTCCCAAAGTTTTCCCTGTCCTTGACCCTTTTCCTTCTTGCTCTAAATTCTCACACTTGAGGACCTCTTCTGCTCTGATAGGCTCTACTATGATTCCATATATTGACTCAAAGGTTCAGTCACCCATAGCCCTCTTTTTCCCCTGCTTGTCTCTCATTTTTATCTCTTACTGCTACCCCTTGTGCAAATACACTCTTGAAAATTAGACAGTGTGTTGATTCTGTAGCACACCTTGAACCTTCCTACCTCTTCACCTTTGCTCATGCAGCTTCCACTGCCCATGGCACCTGTTTTGCCCTTTCTCCAATATCCACCTTCCAAATTCTATGCATTCAGGAAAGCCCAACACTATAGTTACCTCCTTCAAAAACTCTGTCCAGATGTTTTTCATATAGAAGACATTTATTCTCACACTACATTATTGGAACTTCCCCCGTTGTGTTCATCACTTTGCCCTGTGTACAAGTCATGTGACTATGTGACATCATCCCATCCAGCCTGTTCCAGCTCCTTCAAGTGATCCCAGATCCACCATATAGATATACTCTAGGAGATGGTAGAAAATGCACAGAACACTTA